ATAGGGTGGGGTGGGCTGGGGCTCAGTCCAGACTGGACCAAGTTGGGGTTTCCTGCTGAAAGGCCACAGCCTCCCTGGAGGTGACAATCTGGCTCCTGACGTGGCTGTGAACTCCCGGCCACCTTCTTCCCGGCCTTCCCTGCTGACCATCCAGGGTCTGAGCCAGCCCAGGCAAGGCTCGCCAAGCCCGGTTTTCCATCTCTGTGGTGGCCTAGCCTGGCCTGCCACCTGATGGCCCCTGCCTGTGGCAGGGGACAGCCAACAGCCACAGCCTTTATCAGGTTTCCTTGCCCTTCCTCCCGATGTGGTCGCCCGTTTCTCTCTCTGAAATAGGGCAGGGATGAGAACAGAGGGAACTACGGTTTGATGTAGCAGCCTTACTGTGTCCTAGCCCACCAGCACCGGATTCTGGAGCCTGTGGGCTGGCTCAGTGACGTCCCCGTCCCAAGCTACTGCACTGGACCATGTACTGCCTTTCTGGCAGCTGGGAGAGCAGCCCTCCTCTGCCTCATCCTGTCCACTCCTCCACCTGGACCTAGTCTCTTCCATGCAGTCCTGGGCGGCTGGCGCAGAGCCAGCCCTGGACAGTGGTCCTCAGGGATGGATGGAGCCCTAGGGCAGGAAGAAGGTAGGTCCCACGGAAAGCTGGACGGTTAAGGTCCGGTTGTGGCACCCTTGGGAGAGGCAAGGGTACAGGGAAGCCATATTGGAGAACTTCCGTCTGACTTTGGATGCATCTCATGCTCGTGGAAGTGCTTTTGCGAGTATTCAAGAGTGATGTGTGGTTCAGTAAGGAGGTGGGCCCTGCATCTGGGGGGTGGGATGCTGCCATCTTCAGCCTGGTAGAGAACAAGGCAAAGTAAACCCACAGTGCCTCTGCAGGGACTTCTCATCCTCTGGGTGCCTCTCGTCTGGGGTGATTTCTCTGTGTGTGTGTGTGCTGCCACAGGTGCTGAGCATGTAAACTGCTTAGTTGCTTCCATCAGCCAGGAAGGAGGCAGGTGAGTGGGAGATGAGCGGGCTGATGTCAGCCTTTCATCCGGTTTCCTGGAATTCCGGCCAGGGGCTGGGAACTCACTGCTGAGGAGAGCATTTGCTTGTGGCTCTGTCAGGAGCCTGCGACCTTGGGCAAGTCACTTCCTCTCCCTGCTATGCCAGTGAGACAGGGATGCTACAGAGAGCTCCTCTTTCCACCTCAAAAAGTGTTTATCTTGAGGCAAGGTCGGTGGTGGACAGGCAGAGCTTTGGGCTGGGGATGGGGGTGGAACTCCACAGGAATGTGAGCGGCCCCAGTTAGGTCTCCTCATCTCCCTGTTAGTTACCCTTGCGGACTCTCTCCCTGCAGTGGGTCCAGGGTTAACCTCAAAGCAGACACTTGGTCCAGCAGTCTTCGTGAATGGAGACAGGTGGCTTGCTGATGGAGCAAAGTGAAGGGAGTCCCCAGACCTGCTGTTTCTGCCACTGACTAGCTGTGGGAGGTGAGGCAGCCCCCTGACCCTCGCTGAGCTTCGGGGGTTTCCCATCTGAGAACGAGGGGGTTGGACTAAGTCATCCCTAAGGCAGTGGGAATGAACAGAAGTGCTCCTGTTCCTGCTGATTAAGTCACACATCAATTGCACATTTATCCACTCTGGGCCAGGCACTGGGAGTCTGAATTTGCTTCCAGCTCCCAACAGTCCCATAAGGTACCTAGCTGTAGACCCGATTTTACAGTCGAGGTTGTGGAAATTCAGAGGTGAAATGTGGTTTGCCCAAAGCCACACAGCTGGGGCTGTGACAAGGCTGGGGTATCTGCGCAGCTCATTTTCTGCCTCAGCCCCGCTCCCC